ACAATGATTATGTTTACCTATTAATAAATGATTTCTTTAATCATGCCACATTGAATACACCACAATGTATGGGACTGTAAGTGCCTTGAGCCAAAAAGAAAACATACTATGGTTAAACTCTTATGTAAATTAGGTCATATGTACTGTCTACAATATGCTTTGCATATTTGAAATGCTTGGAATAAAGGAAGAAGAGGTGTTAATGAGAGCTCCCCTGATCTTACTTATTTTTACTTGTTCCAGTAGCCTGGGAATTGTATGAATTTCTAAAGTCAAATATTACAAAAAGTTATCATTATTGCAATAAAGATCAATTGTGGATACACAAATCTAATACTGTAAGGATTATATGTATCACAAACACATTTTGATTCTATAAGTAAAACAGTAACTCCAGGTTCAAAAGTAATACATAAGTTTTTTTGTTATTCATTGCTATGGAAATTCTTGAGTTCTTTTCTTATATTGAAATTTAAACAATAGAGATTATTTTTTTCCACATTAAAGGCAATCAAATTGCAGTCAATCTAATTTTAATTATGCAAACATCAATATTATTCTTACTTTACCAAAATTCTAAAACGCATATTTTAATAATATGAACATAACCATTGGAAAAATTATTCTCTTTTTGAATAATACTTTCCGCACTTTGCTATTCTAATGCTTGTTTTTTAATACAAAATCCTATTAATGTTTGTTGAAGCCTTCATAAGTGACACTGAATTTAAAATGTGACATTGTTTTGACATAAAACAAAGAAAATACTCTATAAATCTCTAATGTGTGTGAGTCATAATACTGGAAGATTTAAAGCAAGGATTATCTTCAATTTTTGATAGTATGTAAAAAACTTGAACTATGGTTCACTTATTTATGTTAAACTGAAATCATATCTATCTTCAAATAAGTCACATTTAATTCAACAAGACTTATATGTCAGTGGAAGTTTCTAGAATTATGCTGTACATTTCTTAAGGCTGCTTAAATGTTCCTGAATATGAACCAATTTTAAAGAATTTATTCTGGATGAAAATAAATCAGTGGAACACAAAGAGTTTCATATAGCCCTCCAGCATTCAGTTTTTCTACTTAATCTGAATCAAGCCAATATTTAAGAAGTAAGAAGTTTTCTTTTAATGCTTCTTTTATAAGATTTTGCTTTGTGTTTATTTGTGTATGCTGAGGATATTACAATTTATTTTTGGAATTTATATTTTTTTTTTAAAAATTAAATTTTCCTCAAGGTTTGGATTATTAGTAAACCAATTTCATTGTATACATGATGTACAATGACAATAAAGGCTAAACTATACTTATTGCCCTGCCTACCATGTTAACAAGTGTGTTTTCTCCTTTGGTTATGCAATGGAAACTGTCAGGAACAATTGGAAATGAAAATGTTATCCTGTTAGTTCTATATAATTTCTCAGAATTGGATTTAAGAGAAACTGAATTATAATCTTTCTGGGTCCTTCCAAAGTAAAAAGATGGTGCAGCGAATTTGTGCTCCATGTTAATTTACCACTAATTTAAAACATGTTGGAAGATTCCATCCACCCTTTATGTCTTTTCACATCTATATGAAATGACTTTTCTTCTGGTATCTTTGCATCATTGTTGACTCCTGGCACTTGCCTAGTGTAATCTCTATAGGGTTTTTGGCAAAGTTTTGGAGAGACTTGTCATTGATATTCATCCATAATCAATGGTTATGAAAAGAACTGGAATTGGATCTTAGGCAACAAAAACAAAATGCATGGGTACAGTATAGGTGGTACCTTGCTCAATAGTAGCAACTGTGAAAGGGATCTTGGAGTCCTAGTGGACAACCATTTAAATATGAGCCAGCAGTGTGCAGCAGCTGCCAAAAAAGCCAACACAGTTCTAGGCTGCATCAACAGAGGGATAGAATCAAGATCATGTGAAGTGTTCATATCACTTTATAAGGCCTTGGTAAGGCCACACTTGGAATACTGCATTCAGTTTTGGTCGCCACAATGTAGAAAAGATGTGGAGACACTAAAAAGAGTGAAAAGCAACAAAGATGATGAGGGGACTGGAGACTAAAACATGAAGAATGCAGGAACTGGGTAAGTCTATTTTAATGAAAAGAAGGACTCGGGGAGACAGACATAATAGCAGTGTTCCAATATTTCAGGGGTTGCCACAAGGAGACAAGCAACTTAGAACTGAGGAGAAATTTTCTGACAGTGACAACAATTAATCAGTGGAACAGTTTGCCTCTGGAAGTTGTGAATGCTCCAACACTGGAGGTTTTTAAGAAGAGATTGAATAACCATTTGTCTGAAGTGGTGTAGGGTTTCCTGCCTAGGCATGGGGTTGGACTAGAAGACCTCCAAGGTCCCTTCCAAGTCTGTTATTCTATTCTATTCTGCTCCTATCACTGCACATTTCTGGACAGAGAACTGGACCTGGGATCTGTTGGAGCCACTCTCCCACCTTAGGAATATCAGTAATTGCAAGGAACTTCTGGGTCTTCACTTTGGCAGCCTCATGCCCTCCTTTGTCTAACTCATTATATCAGCAGGGTATCTGATGACTGGCAGTACATACATGGTAATGGCGTGACTCTTGTTCTTCTTATTAAGCCATCTCTTCAGGATCTGTCCTATCCTTTGGAGTACTTGAATGTTCCTGTCTTCCTTGCCTCACATGATTTTCATGTGATTCTAGAATCCCAAGATGCTTGTAGCCAATCTGTATGTCTGTTATGTGACTCACTGGTAATTCCTCCCCATCAATCTGAACTATTTTCCTACTCTTTATTACCACCTGACCACACATCTCCAATCCAAATAACATCCCAGTGTCCTTCCTGTAGATCCCATGTCAGATGGATCAGTGAGTCTTTTTAATTCTTGTCTTTTTAATTCTTAGCACACAGCTTAATGTCATCCATGCAAAGGAACTGGCCAATGGTTATTCCACTCTTAGCTTATATCCGTATCCAGTCCTTGTGATTGGGTTCAAGCCTACGCAGAGCAGGAGGAACAGCAGTGAGATCAGTATCACCTTGGTATATGCCTCATTTGATGGCCACTTGTGCAAATTAACTTTAGTTGACTTTCAGTGTTGTTTTCCAGTCCCACTGAGTTCTTGAGGAAGGTCCTTATGTCCTGTTTGTATAGTGCAAGGCATTCACACATCATGTGCTTGTGGCATTGAGTCATGGCTTTTCTGTAATCAATCCAGGCTGTGCTCAGATTGGTCTGTCTAGACCTTTGAGACAATTCTTGTATCTATTACAAACAAGTGATTTGAGCCTTGATGTTGTTCCCAGTGTCCTTCGAAGCATGCTTTTGTACAAGTCCATCTTGTAGTTAGGTTACTATGATGCCTAATAGGACTTTCCATGTATTGAGGAGGTAGGTTATCATCTTTAGTATTAAAATAATAAATAAAGATGAAAAAAATGAAATATAATATACTGATATATCCATAAGTATTCAGAAGTATTTTCTAATTATCAGAATGTGTTTAGCAATTTTAGAATAATAACTTAAGAAGTAACAGTTGTTCTATAGGAGATGGGCAAAGCCCAAAGACTGGGTCAAATGCATCATCAGTTTGGAATCCTTACGCAGCCACAAGAGACCTAATTCCAGTCACCCGTGAATTCCATTGACTCTTTATTTAGTGCCAATTTGCCTTGACCATTAGTAGATCAGAGTTTTATGTATCGGTAGCATGTTACTTTTAGTGTTTGAATTCCGCTCCTCCTCCTGGTTACTTGTGCCTGACATTTCTACTTATTAAAACAAATGACACTCTGCCTAGTTTTCTAAGAAATAAAATGATAAAGATGAGATCACCATAGTTAATGTATTACCTGAATATTAATTTCAGGTTAAATCATAGTTGAAAGATAAACTCTTTGTGATAAACCATGTCATCTCAGAGTAGCTATAGCATGTATATTTTTATCTGTTTATTCACAAGGACTTCAGTCAGGTTCAACTCTAAACAAAAGACTGCTTTGAGATTTGATGAAAATTAGCATTTATTCCAACTACTAATACTTTTATTTATTTAATGTCAAAAGCTATTATATGAAGAAACAAATGGAAATATTATCAGAGCATTTGTATCTAATATGATCTAAATTCCCTAGAGTAGACTCTAGTATTTAAATAGTAATTACTCAATAATATAAATTGGAAAATACAGCGAATTCTGGTGAAACATGTGAAGAATCATCATAGTTCAAATTTGTTCCAAGATTGGCCATACTATTAAGTTCACCAATACAGATAGTTTTCCATAAATGAATGGAATAAATGAATTCTCACTTAATGAATGCCCTGCTTAGCAACTGTTGAAAACAGTCCTGAAAAAGTAACTTTACATTCTTTGCACTTACAACCATTGCTATTTCCCTATAATAACATGATTGAAATTCATGTGCCAATTTGGATGCTTCATAGCTGACTTCACAAGCACGTCAATAGAGAGGCTAGCAATAAAATTACAAATTGCAATTCATGGCCATGTGATACTCCACTTAACAACCATAACCAAACCATGATTTGGTTAACCATGGTGGAAGTGAGGTCATAAGTCGGTTGCATCATGTCGTGTTAATGGTCATGTTGCTTAGCGACGGAGTTGCTGATCACAACTGTGATCGTTAAGGGATACCTGTAGTATCTAAACCTTTTATTACTTTACATGATGAAGGCAGGTGAATACGCCAAAGATTGAACATTCAATCTAAAATAAGTGAATATTGTTGAAGTGCTGGCTTTATCAGATTTATTTATACGTTTCAAGTTCATAAAAAATAAAAAATATTTAAAATGGGTATTTAGTAATTCTACATTTTTCTTAATATTGATCAGCATTATATGATAACTTCATCACAATTTTTCTTTATATTAATTTAAATGTTGTTATTCCCCTTATTAGGTTATAATTCTTACATTAATCTATCCATGTTTTTATGCAACTAAATCAAATCTTTGTCATCTTTTTTCAAGGGCTGAAGTCAAGTGAGCCAACCATGACCGGCAAAACACAGACCAGTAATGTCACCAATAAGAATGACCCCAAATCCATCAACTCTAGAGTCTTCATTGGTAATCTTAATACAGCCATTGTCAAAAAAGGAGATATAGAAGCAATCTTTGCAAAGTATGGAAAAATAGTTGGCTGTTCAGTGCACAAAGGTTATGCATTTGTACAGTACATGAGTGAGAGGCACGCAAGAGCTGCTGTGGCAGGGGAAAATGCCAGGATCATTGCAGGACAACCATTGGGTGAGTGTCTGCATATGGCCCCTCATATGTTAATTTTAATATATTTTTTTACCTTTTTAGTTTCTAGATTCATTTCTTTTATATCCAGACTGAATCTGCGTGAATTCAATTAATTGTATTTTATATGCATTCTAGCAGTGAGCAAAAATTACAATGCACTTAGTATTCTTTACATCATAAAGGAAGTTTAGAACTACATAAAAAGATATGGGGCATATAACCCTTGTGAACACAACATGCACTTTTAACTGGGGGTATTTCTTAGGCCCACAAATCCAAAGGTCAGCCCTTCAGCATGTATTATGACATTGTTTTAATGTGCCATACTTAACATGAACCAATATATATGATTTGGACAGCAAACATAACTGCTGTAGTTGGAATTAGAATTTCCACACTCCTTATGTCTATGAAAATTTTGCTGCTAAGTGAAACATTTATTAAGTGAGTTTTGCCCCCTTTTACGATCTTTCTTGCCATAGTTGTTAAGTGAAACACTGCAGTTGTTGAGTGAGTAACATAATTTTTAAGTGAAACTGGCTTCCCCATTAACTTTGCTTGTCAGGAGGTCACAAAATGTGATCAAGTGACCCCAGGACACTGCAACCATCATAAAGATGACTCAGCTGCCAAGCATCTAAATGTTGATCATGTGACTATGGAGATGCTGCAATGGTTGTAAGTGTGAAAAACAACATAAGTCACTTTTTTCAATGCTGTTGTAACTTCAAATGATCACTAAATGAACTGTTGTAAGTCAAGAACTACCTGTAATTAAACTACCAGTGCTCAGGATGTGTTTTGAAGTGTAGATAGGAGCTGCTTGTTAATTATAACTAAATTTGGCGTTTGACAGTTGCACCAGTAGACTGGAGGTCATACTCATTATAGGCTTGCCTAAATTTTAAGTTGCTGGTACATCTTTCATCTTAATTTTAAGTGGATATTTAGTAGCTAGCACAATATATAAGGCATGGTATAATTATGGAAAATGAAATAAGGTCAGCAATAGGTTGATTAAAAAAAAAACTTTATCCAGTCTGGTCCCTGCAGAAGTTATTGAGGAATTCTGAAGTACTACAATCATTAGTGAGTTGGTATACTGCCCAGAAACCATCATTTTTATGGAATGACTGTATTGTATAGAAGCTAATAAGGTATGTTTTATTATTTGTCTTTAGATGTATAGAAACTTGTTTGGAATAATCTTTAAAATAAATAGGAGAAAAACACAAGCCATCATAGTTCAATTAGATTTTCTGGAGAAAGATTATGAACATGGACTAGACATCCTTGTCCTGTAAAAATTTACTGCCACCTTACTTAAGCTATTTGTTCTCTGCTGCTCTGCTATACATACATAAACACACATTCATATATCTCTATTCTGCTTCAAAAGACTCAGGGTGGTTTATTAAAATATAAGCCATAAATAACAAGCATCACTTTCAGGAAGAAAACATTTTAATAGTAGCCCAAGTCCACCATCTGCACTGAAGGTTTATTAAAACAGAAAAAGGTTTCAACATCTTACAAAATTTCTAGCAATAATCCTGAAGATAAAATTTGAGGATAATTGTATCATACAATATAAAGGGCAAAAATATTCTGTAGGATTCATTCCAGAGATTTTGTCAAATCAAGTTTCAGTGGCATGTTTATAATTAATTCTTCTTATTCAAAATGCTGGGTTTTTTACTCTATTCTTCTGAAATTTCCCGATAGTCTCTTTTTTCTTTTTTTCCCCTCACATGAGCTGGGTTTCCTGCCCAGAAATATGCATTTATTTCCATGATATGTCTATATTTGCTGTCTTCCATTAAAGTTATTGGAGGATTGCTCTTTGAGTGCTTTAATACATCGTTGTGCTGAATAGTTTTTAATAAGAACTTAGGTTATTAACTAATGTTATTTAGTCACTTGATTTAATAACAAAAGAACAAGATTGATGGAGTCAATTTGTCTGCATTTTGGAATCAAATGTATTTTTGTTTATGTTTATTTTTAAGAAAACAAAACAGCCATTCAAACAATAGTTGATCGATCTCTTGAGCTGAACAACTATTAGATTTTTGTGAGCAAAAAAACCCCTTCCTTCCTTCCTTCCTTCCCTCCTTCCTTCCTTCCTTCCTTCCTTCCTTCCTTCCTTCCTTCCTTC